AAAAAAAACCTCTGAAGTTTGAATTAAAAAATATTTTGACAGTATTGCTACACACAATGTGAGAGAGGGTTTTTACAGAAAAGGTTTGCTTTAATCACTGTTCAAGGATTATTTATGTAAATCAAAATATCGTACGTATGTATGGAATCTATAAAATCTAACCACACCCGTTTTCCTCAGCTGTGCCTCTGTGTTTCCTGAATCTCCTCGCTGGCTGTGGTCTACAGCTCAGATCCATCAGGCGAAGAGAAGTTTCCTGGAATTCTCCACCAGGAATGGCGTTTGTCCACAAGAGCAAATGTTTCCCAGTGAATCTTTGTTGTCAGGTAGGAACATTCATGGGCAAATATTCAAATATACAAACTCTGTGGGGAAATTTGCAAGTCTTTGCAACTCACACAGGCTGCCACTGGGAGGCGCCATGAAGTACGTAAGTCTTCTGGGCCTTCTGAGCTTCTGCGACAAGATTTTTTTGTGACAGATATTTTTGTCAGATTTTGCAGTAACCGCAAAAATAAAATACTGTGATATTAAGAAGCTCACGTGTTGCATGATGGGTCTCTGCCTCCAGTGGTTCATTGAGGAGATTTTAGACATGCTGGGAGGCGTCACCAGTGGCAAAAAAACCTGTTTGGAGACATGCTAATGCCTCTCCCCAAGAGAGAGGAAATTAATTGTTTTTCTGTTAATCCCATATACACAATAATAAAGTAGAAATGTAACTGTTATTAGTAGTAACCTCAGTGTAGCGATGGATTCATCCTGAAGGCTCACGGTTCCTCACTGCCTCTGGTCTGTTTCCAGAGATGGACTCAGTTCACGGAGAAGACTGTCGTCCATGTTACCACTCAGTTCTGGAGCTGCGTCGGACTCGTATCATCTGGAAGAACTGCCTCATCCTCAGCTTCGCTCTGTGAGTTGAAGAGAATCCACTTCAGATGTACCTTCAGCACAAACACTGTGGATTCTTTTCAAACGATAAAGTCCCGTCTACTTTGTTTTGTGTCTCCCGTCCAGGTTCATCGGGACCGGTATTCAGTACTGTTTCACCAGGAATCTGCACAGTTACTCCACCAACTTCTACTTCAGCTACTTCATCAGAATCATCACCGGAGCTCTGGCCGCCGTCTTCCTCTGCATCACTGTCAATCACTTCGGGCGACGTGGCATTCTGCTGCTGTCGGCCATCATCACTGGACTGTCGTCACTGCTGCTGCTGGCCCTCACTCAGTGTATGACCAACGTCCTAAGATTTTAGTCTTTTTTTTTTTACCTGACTGGACAATATATATATAAAAAATAAATATAAAAGAGTGAACTAGATTCATTTCAATGTGAAGTTGGATTTATTTTTATTATTTTTAACTAAATTAGAAAATTGTTAATAATAAAAAGTGATTATTATTATTATTCAACTTGAACTTTAATCTTGATCTTTTTTGTAACTAGATCATTATTGTTCTTTATCATATGTCTATGCTCTAGTGAGTTCAACAATAACACAGAGATGACAACAGATAACTGCTGCAGCTATATTGAAAAATCTGTTTTCTCTGTGTCAGACCTGCAGGGCGGTCTGGTGTTGGTTCTGTCCATGGTGGGTTTGCTCTTCTCTCAGGCTCTGGCTCAGCTCAGCGTCTTCTTTGCCTGTGAGGTGATGCCAACTGTGGTTCGGTGAGTCTTTCTTCCTCTGAAGTTTTAATGCTGGGAAGATTTCAGACTCTAAACGCAAGGTCTTCAAGAAATTGAAGACATTTTTAAATCAAATTTTCTACTCTGGCTTCTTTTCCTGGGGAACATTGCTCTGCAGAAATGGACTGCTGTGGCTGTGGAGTCACAAGGCGCAGAATATCAATGATGTAAATATGAAGATAATTTGATTTTCTTTCTCTTCCTCTCCTCTCCCTCTCCCTCAGTGGTGGCTGCCTGGGCCTGGTCTTGTCATCTGGTTGTGTGGGCATGGCTGCGTCGTCCCTGATGGAGCTCCAGAATAACAGCGGTTATTTCCTACACCATGTCATCTTTGCGACGTTCGCCGTCCTCTCCGTTCTGTCCATAATGCTCCTACCTGAGAGTAAGCGGAAGCCTCTCCCGGACTCTCTGACGGAGGGCGAGAACCAGCGGCGGCCACCACTCTACGTGTCTCGGCCTGACAGAGACAACCTGCCTTTGCTGCACACTCGACATCCTCTGTCGGAATACAACCCTGAAAACTACTCCTTTTTGGTTAGTGCCACCAGGAAGATGTTGTCTAAGGACACTTTGCCTTACAGGATTTCTGTGCCCAGTCACCCCCCACTGCTGGAGGACGAAACACAGGGAATGAACGAGTCCTGAAAACCACTCGTATTTGACTGCTCCTTCACATACCTCACGTGTTCTTAATCACTGGATGGTCTTAGCTCAGCAGTAGAACGGGCTGCTTCTTCAGAATCTCAATTCACATTTAAACCCATAGAGGTGTTCTCTCAAGTTGTTACATTTGTGACCTAAAGCTAAATGATGGATCGACATGTTTCTGACTGACCATCTGTGTTTGGTTTATTAACTTAGAAATGAGCAAACGTTCATATCTGTCCACCTCAGGTCAGGGTCTCTTTTTTTGTTTTTGTTCGTCGCTTGTCCGTGGAGATTGTGGTCAAAGGTCATGTGAGCTGATGCAGCGCCATCAAACATGACTTTTCCATTAGGTTATTTTTTTATGAAGTCATCAGAGGTTTCAGCAGTGTCTCAGTGCTGAGCAGAGCCCAGGAACCCATGGTGTGCTAATGTAATGATGTTACTTTATTTGGCTCTGAATGAAGTACTGGTCACTGGCTGAAGAAAGCACTGTGTCATAATAGGAAAAACAAGGTTAAACCAATATCTGAACAGCAATGTCCTGTCGTAAAGTTACTTTTCCTCAACAAAAATGTTGGTAAACTAATAAAACACAGTGCTATTTTTAAAAACAAGCCATTCCTATATATTTATATATATATATATAGTATATTCCTGTCTCCTGCCAGACTTCCCCTGAATTCACTGGGAGTCGTATATGTTAAAATGGGTTTAGTATTTTTGTTAATTCACATCTCAAAATCCTTCCATGACAGTATAAAAAATGAGTTGTCATTGAAAAGATAGTTTGACTAAAAAACTCCTCACGCTGCTTTTTGCATTTCCGTCCAGCTATATATATATATATATATATATATATATATATAGCAGTATATAAAGAGATAGCTGTGGACCTCTTACCTTTAGTTTATCGGTAAAAGTTAGATATAAAGATACGTTTATAAGACTTTCTTAGTAAACAATTACCTAAAATTATAATTTGCTCTCTGTCCTCACTAGAGTGACCACCTGTGCCGCTTTACGTTGTATGTTTTTTCCCGCGTCACGCAAATTGAACATTTTGTCCCACTTTTTCATTCGCCATTACTTAATTGAAAATAAACTATTTTATGTACATAGCTGTCTATGGGCACGACTACTAGTGCAAACCATAGCAATGATAGGCCACTTGGTGGATAGGGCGGTAGCTGACAGGCTGAGTGGTGTGTCAATCAAACTGTTGACTCGCATCAATCAGACAAACTTTAGCGTCTGAAAACGTACGGCGCGCAGTTTTTTGATACTGTAAAGGCATCCATGTGCAGTGTGACGACAAAAAATATGTTTTTTTTGCTGAGACCGGTGGATGGAGATTCTGAACGAGCACTCTGCAGTGGAAAAACGGCTTGTTTGTCGATGAATCATCGTGAAGGGGAAACGACACGATGCACGTGAGTCTCACACAAGAAGTGCACAACAACAAACATCCAAAAGTGTGCAGTATTGTTTTGCAAACCAAATGAATAGAGTTCTACAACGATTCAGAATATATATTCACGGTCACTGTATCTTGTTATAGCCAATATATATAAGTTTTAACATTTGGTCGCTTTTCTGCTACGTGCTATGCTATGTGTTTCAGAAACGTGCTGAGAAAGGCTGTTGGCCTGCCGCTTGCTGGATCAGATGTTTGGCGGCGTTGTATTGAGGTATTTCTATTTTTCATTTTCATGTTTTTGTCATAGATGACCAAAATAGTCCACAGGAGTTGTTGGTTTTACACAGACCTATTTACATTGTACGTTTAATTTGACATCAGGTTATATTCTGTTCTGGCCTTATCTGCTTGTTTCATGTTAAATGGGGGGAAATTAAGGTGTGCTTTTCAGGTATAGGTTATGTCTTTGGTACTGTAGAGTTTTAGTTTGTTTTGTGGTGGTATAAGGCGAGTTTACGGTCTAAGACATTTTGCCACACATGCATACAGGGTAAGACATCAAAATAACAAACAATCATGTACAGTACGTACGGTTGGGAAATCTAAGATACCGGCATGCCATGCGTGACATATGTACTGTATATATGGTGAGCATTTAATTAATGTAGGGTACCTCAGTTCGACACAGGAGGGCACTGTTGTGCAACGACTGCGATAGTAGAGGGACCAGTGTATTTCGTGGCAACTTTCACGTAATAACGTGATGTCTGTAAAGCACACTGAGTTTGCTTTTTGCATGAAATGCGATCAATAAATAAAATTGAAATTAATGAAGAAATGATCAAAGTCCACCTGCGAGCCCAGAATATGGCTCGTTTACACGATTCAGTTGAATTGCACTTTATGCTTGGCTTGAGGCATGGTGAGATTTTACAATTATTGAGCTCAGTGGATGAGATTTTTATTAGTATGCGTACTTTCAGAAGGATGAGGATGATTTACGTATATACTGTACGTATTTACCCTTCACGAACCTCCCTACACTGTTATCAACAGTCGAACAACAACAACAACAGTGCCCTCCTGTGTCTATATGAGGTATCCTACATTAATTAAATGCTCACCATATATACAGTACATACAGTGGAGGTCAGAAGTTTACATACAGTACATGTTCCTTTACTAAATCTCATGCAAAGTTCAAGTTACACACTTGAATCATGAATAAACTGGCATCCACAATGCCCTAGGAATAATGCTTTTGGGAAATAAAAAGGCAAAAATGCTTCATAATTTGGGATTTATTGATATTTCTTTGCAGAACACTTTTTTACCGGGTCATAAGTTTACATACACCTTTGTCTTCAGGGATTAGTACTTGGTAGCATTTCCATTAACTTTTATAACTTCAGCAAGTCGCTTTGGATAGCCATCAATGAGCTTCTCACTGTAATCCTTTGGAATTTTTGGCCACTCTTCCTGGCAGATTTGGTACAACTCGGTCAGATCTGTTGGTCTTCTCTTACGGACCTGTTTCTTCAGTTCAGTCCACAAGATCTCGATAGGATTCAGGTCAGGGCTTTGTGAAGGCCACTCCAGTACTTTCACCTTGTTCTGCTGAAACCATTTTGAAACTAATTTTGCTTTATGGTTTGGATCATTGTCCTGTTGAAAGATCCACTTTCGACCAAGCTGCAAAGATTTGGCTGACTTTTCTTCCAATATTTCCAAGTATTGCTCTTTTCTCATGATTCCCTTGATCTTCTGGAGTTCACCAGTTCCTGATGCTGCAAAGCAGCCCCACAACATGAGCCTTCCTCCACCATGCTTGACCGTTGGGATGGTATTGTTGGGATTATAGGCTTCACCCTTTCACTGGAAAATGTATTGCTGGTCATTATGCCCAAAAAAGTTCAATTTTTGTCTTATCCGACCACATGACATTCTTCCAGAAGGCTTTATCCTTATCCTGGTGCTCTTTTGCAAACTTCAACCGAGCTTTTCTGTGTCTCTCTTTGAGTAATGGCTTCTTTCTGGCCCGGTGTACTCTTAGTCCATGTCGATGGAGAGCTCTCTTCGCCACAGACACTGAGACATTTGTTTCTGAGGCAGACAATTCATTGCAGATGGCTTTCTTGGTGATCTTGGGGTTCATTTTTACATTTCTTACCAAAAGCTTTTCATCTCTGGATGTTAATTTCCGTTTCCTTCCAGACCTTGGCATTACGGCTGTTCTCCCAAGTTGCTTATATTTGTGGACAATTGTCTGAACAGATGCCCTTGGTACACCAAGCTGCCTTGAAATGGTCCCAAGAGACAAGCCTGACTTATGCAAGGCAACAATTCGCTCCCTGATGTCATGGCTGTATTCTTTTGACTTTCCCATTGCAAGTATCAAGTCGAAATGCAGTGTGTAAAGTCAAGCTGCTTTTATGCCCCATAATTTCTACACCTTGGCTTTTACACAACATGAATGAACACCAGACTAAAGGGATGATTTCATGAATGATAGCACAGCCTTCAAGTTCAACTAATTTGCTGTTAAATGGACCAGACAAGTGAGTGTATGTAAACATATGAACCACAAGAATCTGAGGCCATTTGGGGAAATCAACTGGATATCTGTCTTAGGTCAGAAATTCTGATCTACTCCATTGGCAGAATAATGAAGACACTATTATTGAATAACCACATATATGTCTTCATTCAAATTGGGTGGCCAATTGGGTTAAAGCTGCCTTCAATCGTTTTAGCTTTAGTGTATGTAAACTTATGACCTCGACTGTATGTCACGCATAACATGCTGCGGTATCTTAGATTTCCCAACTGTACGTACTCTACATGATTGTTTGTTATTTTAATGTATTACCCTGTATGTATGTGTGGCAAAATGTCTTAGATATACTTTCTCGTGAGCACGAGAACGTATCTCATGCTCACGAGGAAGTATCTAGTGCGCACGAAATACTAGATTTTTTCCCCCATGTCCCTTTAGGGGCTCCGTACGAGTAACTTGGTTAAAAAAAGAAGAAAAAAAAAGTTGGCTTTAAATGATTGCGGCTCTCCCTCATTGTCCCACTCAAACCTACTTGTCCCGCATTTTGTCGGTTTGGAGGTGGTCACCCTGGCCCTCACACGGACAAGAAAAGGGATATATGTGATATTTAATCACAATCTGAATGTTCACCACTAGATGTTGCTAAAACTCTACCCTTAACAAATAACAGAACATCTATTCTGCCTGAATTTTTTATTCTAGGGTGCACATATCTCTCACAACACTAGATGGCAGACTAGTTTCACCCTTTCAAACGCTGGTCGCTGCAGACTGTCTACGTTTTGCAACAAAAAGGAGATTTTATTGGACATGTTAAATATGTTTTAATTTTAAGAACATATTCAGGATATTTATATATGATTGTTTTTTTATTTTTAGAATTTAAACAATTGAACATATTCAGGATATTTATATATGATTGTTTTTTTTTTAGAATTTAAACAATTGCATGGCAGTTAATTTGAATTTGTTCTTTAGTACAGAAATTTGATTGTGTCTCAAAGCCTTGTGAATGTCAAAAATTAGTAAAAAAAAAATCATACAAGGTATGATTGCATCAGGATTTTTATTTAGTGTCATATTTAAAATCAAACACACAATCTGCAATGAAATCATACATTTGTTTGACACTCAGTTATCGTTTTTACTACATACTTTACATGTCATTTAATTTGTTAGAACTTTTAATGGTTAATTACCTAATAGTTGTTTTGTTTTTAAATAAATGGTAAGTGAAAAGAGCTTTGGTTCTGGTTGGAGTCTTAAATATGACAAACATTAGTTTTATGTCCTAAAGAGTTTACATTAGTATTTTTCCCTGTTTCAGATTCTCTGAAAATGATCAAGGGTTAGACAATTTGACAACTTTTAATGTTTTTGGTATTCTGTTATTTAAGGTACCACCAGATCATTTCAGTCGGCGATGGTGTTCTGTATCGTTCTTACAATTAAGGATAATTGTAGTTGGTCATAAATTGCTATATCGTTCACTGAGTGTCCCGTTACATCCCAGATTTTTAGACCTGCATTCTGCAACGCATTCTGATATTTGGCAATTTTGATTTATTCTTCCAAATTCTACTCTTTTTCCTTTCTAGACTCGTGCATTATCTGCCAGGGTGCTCCAGGACACGAGCTCTGACAGGAATCTTCACCAGAGTCCTTCACTTCTATCAGTGTCTTCAGCCTTTCCTCTGGAAGAGAAGAGGAAACGGACAGTCCTCCCATCCTAAATGTGGACCACTGACCTTGGCGGAGGAGAATCTCTGATGTGGTTTCCTGTTTTCTCCCTCCTGACTCAACCCAGGTAAAGCTGAAATACCAGCCTTACACAGAAGGCATTCAATGTTAGTGACGCCTCTCATATAGTCATCTTACTCTTAATTCACTGTAAGTCTTTCTACACCAACAAGAACCTTCTAGATTAACTCTAATCACAGGATGTAGCCCCAGGGTGCAGTTTATGACCTTACAAAGACAAATGAACAATAACAGGACTTCCCTATTCAGGACAGTCGTCAATAAAAAAAAAAAACAGCACGGTAGATGTTAATGTAGTTAAATGACGTGGATAGAATGTAAAAGTGTTTACACAACTGAAACTCTCCTGTTACACTGATTGCTGGCAGGACATTCTTTATTAACACTTACACAACAGTTACCTATCTGGGAACTGTTGTCAGTCATTAGAAGTAGGTGTGAATATTTTTCTTTGTGTTCATAGTGGTTGAAGAGTTCTGTTAGGCAACCGGACGTGAAATGTAATTAACTTCACGTCCAGTTGCCTAACAGAACTCTTCATCCTTGACCATGACCTAGATGACTGAGAATCTTCATAGATGTTTCCATAATGGTGAACAGAGTATGTTTGCAGTGCTTAGCATAAGTATTTACCCCATAGATGTTTTTAACACTTTTATTGCTTTCATAAATCAATCATGGTCACACAAAAAGTTTTTGGAAAAATTTTAACACTTTTATTGCTTTCATAAATTAATCATGGTCACACAAAAAGTTATTGGAAAACAACTCTTTAGTGTCAAAGTGAAAACAGAGTTCTATAAAGTAATGTTGATGAAACAAAATTCTATAAAAAAAATAATTGTTTGCATAATTATTCACCCCCTTTTAAATGTAATGGTCTAATTCAGTAGAGGTCCAACCAATTGGTGACAACAGTCTCACAGTTAGTGAAATGTGTTTGAGGTATAAAACGCCTGTGTCTGAGGGCTCCATAGACTGGTGGACCAGTATTTCTTCTGTTTTCACTTTGACATTAAAGATTTTTTTTCAATACATGTTTGTGTGAAAAAAGCCTAAATGTTATTGATCTATGACTTTTATATATATATTTGCTGTGTTTAGTGTTTAGCATAAGTGTTGACCCCCTCTGGATGTTTTACACTTTTATTGCTTTCATAAGTCTCATATATATGACTTATAAAAGTCATATGACTTTCATAAGTCTCATATATATGACTTATAAAAGTCATATGACTTTCATAAGTCTCATATATATGACTTATAAAAGTCATATGACTTTCATAAGTCTCATATATATGACTTATGAAAGTCATATGACTTTCATAAGTCTCATATATATATATATATATATATATATGAGACTTGTGAAAGCAATAAAAGTGTAAAACATCCAGAGGGGTCAACACTTATGCTAAACACTAACAGCGGCAGTAAAATCAATGAGAAGACTTAGACTTATCCTGACATAAATGTTCCCCATTCCTTATTTAAGAGATTATTCTCTAAACCTATTATCACCAATTATGTCCAAATAAAAATGATGTTTTGAAAATCTGATTAAACCAGCAGATATTAAGGAAAGTCAGTCCGTTGCCCCATTCATTTCAGTAGAGTCTGTAGAGTCAGTGTGAGCAGCAGGACCACCGTGCTGAGGGAGTGGACGGCACCAGCGTTGATATCCCCATATCCGTAGCTTGTCCTGCAGGGGTTCTCAATCTCCTCATATGGAATTGGAATGTCATCTGGAACCGTGTCCTTCATACTGTCACGGACCTGGCACAAAGAGATAATACTGTTAACTGGGGCTGATAATGGATTTAAGAATAAAAATCAGATTAATTACAGTGTAGTTGTGGATTAATCACAATGAATCATGATGTCATTAAACATGATTTAAGATGATTAACTCAGTAAAAAAAATAAGTATTCTTAAATATGATGAAAAAGAGATCTGTGTTTCAGAGAGTTTTGTCTAGGTTTTAATCAAGGTCTATGAAAAGGAAAAAGCAAAAGTATAATTTTGTCAACATAGCCAATTTCTACATGTCATTATTTTATGAAAACATTTCAATTAAAATGAATTTTTAAAAGGTGCACACAGTAATAATGATCAATCAGTTGATGTTTTTTACTCGCTACGTGAGACTACAACTACAGCCTTGTTGCCTCTCTATCTGTATTACTTCAAATCTCTTTTTCTGCACATTTTCATTGCAGCCTTGGTTTATCCCTGACATCAGAAAGTCCTTAAAGGTGTCTCACCTTCTGGGCCTCGTCCAGAACTCGGAGCAGGTTCATTCCCAGAGCGGCTTTCACCTCCACATCAGTCCATCCTCGTCTCAGCAGTTCAGCCACCAGTTTAGGAACCTTGGAAACATCCTCCAAACCTTCTGGCAGTCTGAGAATGTAACACAAATGTTGTTTTCAGGTGACAGGTCATCCCTGCATGCATTTGTATCCATTACACCCATTTTAAATATATTTTGTTATTTTCTAAATATAACTAAATAAAAAGAAATCAGCACATGATACTGTAACTTACAATTCAGAGATTAATATTTTAAAAAAAATAATAAAACCTGTATGTCATATAGCTAAGCTGCTTTCATTTTTAGTTTCTCCTGTAAATCTTTAATTCAGTTTGTTTTCATTTACGGCGTGAAAATTAGAAATCACATTGAAAATAGACAATGAACCTGAATAACTCTTGAATAAGTACATTTAACTAGAGAATACAACTGTTGTGTAGAAACTGTACAACCACAGCATATTTACTATAAAAACATGTTATTTAATTATTAAATAAATACTTTGCTGAAGTAAAAGTGTGTATTTTCTTCTGTTAAAAAAAGCCTTGAGCTTTTAGCATGCCTTTTCTACCACATCATGGTGGTGATTTACTGTCATTTTTTTTTATTCATTATCGGCATGAGCTGTGATAGCTGTTCACATATTCCAAAAGGGAAATTTAAATTGTGCTGCTGTGATTCGATGGAGAGTTACAGTGTGTCCTCCATCACAGTCGACAGCTTTTCAAACTGATGTTGTAACCATTCCCACTAACCTGGTGACTCCGTCATAATCTCCGCCAAAACCGATGACTCCTGCTCCGGCCACTTTTTTTATTATGTCAAAGTGATCTACAGTCACATTTAAAAAAAAAAAAAAGTTCATGAGTAATGGAGGAGGAGAGTCGGGGGTGTAAAATGCTGTCCACTGTCAATTTTTAACCAAATGAAAGAGTAAACAATAGGCGTCACTTACCTGCAACATCTGAGAGATTGGCAGTTTTACTGCAGGTCACGTAGTCGTTGTAGAAGTTCACCATGATCACTCCGTGGGATTCATTCTGGTAGTCGGGACAAAGTGATAAGATAGAGACAGGAAGACATGAGTGCAGCTCCCAGGTTTGAACGCACTTCGATAAAAACACGAGGTGACTGAACTTTATTGAATCTTATCTGTCACTGACTTTTTTACTGTTCCTACTGTTATAAAGGCACTGATAGGTTTACACATTATTATGGCTTTTCCAAGTCTTCCATGCCATTAAGATAACAGCTTCATGATTGTGTCTGAGATATTACACACAAAGAACGCAATTCACTGCCAGTAACCTACTGGCAGTAAAAGTTTATTCACTCACTGAGATGACACCCATAAACCACCTGACCCTCACTCCTTCCTACCCAGAGGAGTAAATGAATCCTCTGCATAGCTGCTAAACCAGAAGACGTGAGAGAATAATCTGACTTATTGAAGCAGGACGAGGTCCCAGAACTTTAGCGACATTTAGATCTGTTTGACTAAAGACAAAAAACACACAGAGACTCACGAGTTTCCTGAGAATATCGTCAGGTACGTTTCTCTTGTGTGGACAGATGCTGTAAGCGGAGGAGTGACTGAAGATGACGGGGGCTCTGGAGATGTTCAGCACCTGGTTCATGACCTCGACAGTCACATGAGCCAAGTCGACCAACATCCCCAAACGGTTCATCTCCAAAACAACTCGCTGTAGGAAGAAGATTAAAAAAAAAAACCAAAGGCTATCAATCACACATAAAAACAACAGGTGCAGAGATAACAGTTACAATATGTCATTTGTTTGGTTGCCAAGCACAGTCCTAACCGTGTGAAAGTAAGCACACGCTGAGACATGAGATTCGATGACAGTTGTGCAAGAGAAATATAAAATGTTTCTGCGACACAGACCTTTCCAAACGGAGACAGGCCGTTGTGTTGACTTGGCTCAGATCCAGTGTCAACACGCCAGTTGTCGGCCCTGGTAAGAGACAATATAAACAGACAATTGAAATAAAACAGTGATAAGTGGAGAAAACCAGGTATCACATTTATATTCCGGAAGTTTTATTCATTCATAAAGATCTGCTGTGGCAGATGGAAATCCCCCCACTCTCCACAAATGAAACCTAAAACACATGGATGTAACTGAACGCCTGTGGATGAGATGTCTCGAGAAGTATTTAGAAACCTTATTAGTATAGTATAATACTGTGATCATTGGTTGACGTACCAAAAAAAAATCAATTTAATTTCCAAATTTAAGCCATAAAAAAGAATAAAACTACATATTTTAAGGGAAATTACATTTTTGAGAAACCTTTATTTTGATCAATGTTGACATTCCAAAAAAGTATATTTTTTCTGCATTTTAAGGCCATTATTATTCACTGTCCATTTTTCTTTTTCTGTTTGTATTAAAAAAATCGGTTTTTACTATTTGTACTGTGTAAAAACATTTTTAAAAGTGTTTACTCAGCAGGTACAAAGCTAATTTTACTGTACTTTGTACACTGTGATTCAGCATGCAACAAATGACGAATTCTTGAGTCTTCTTGATTCTCTTGTTTCTTAATCCACGGGTTATAGAACTTTTAAAGCATTTTTGGACATTTTATTATTTTTGGAATTTAGATCACTCAAATAAATGTTACTTTGTATTAAAATTACTTTGTATTGAATTTTTTCTTTCGTAAAATGTTCACATGAATGACATTTTTTGTACACCACTAAGCCAAATAAGTGTTAAAAACTCTGAATGTAAAATATAAAGAACAACAAGCAAGAATATAGTGCAAAAAAAAAAAGTCCCAGAAATGC